CTTGTTTGAAAGGTGTTTAAATAAGATGCAAAATGCAAAAGCTGAAAGATTGTGCGAATTAATGAAATTTCAGTTGGTAACCCCTTAAATTGTTTTTTTAATTCAACTTTTGTTCATTAGGCTTGTTAAAAAGAAAGAAAAATGTTCTTCTATAATATAGTAGGAGTTGTGCTCTAAATGTAAATGTGAATGGTTGATTTTTGTATATGAGAATGTCATTGTTTTTTGTGTGTAAACGTTTGAATYGGTTCAATAAAAAAATAAAAAGAATGTAAATAAAGGCGCGGTCTGATGACGTCATGACGCCTCCGCGCAACCTCGGAAATGTAGTTTTTGGACGCAGAATTGGCTTGTAGTTGTGGCGGTAAGTGTGTTTTGAGTTTCTGCTCCGCATTGGGATCAGTAATTTCATTTATTACTGAACGATACCGAGTCGCGGCGGGAGCTGGACCGCGGACACGATCCGGACTCCGGTGTTCCAGAAAGGAGCGGGCTCTCGGGCTAACTTAGCATGCTAGCCGGCTGAACGGTGTTGCTGTCGCTGGTGTGTTCGGTCCTGTTGACCGCCAACTCTTCGACAGCCGGCGTGAGTTTATCTGAAGGCGCTGATCAGGGCTGACAGCTAAATGACAGGAGCTAATATTTGTTAATAACACAGCATTGAAGCGCCTCTGGAGCATGTTTGTTTTTGTATTAAGTGTATTTTAGCAGCCAGGTCTTGTTTTTCACATTTGGCCGTGTTTATGTTAACAGGACCAGTGGGTAAATGGTAAGGGCTTCACAGTACAGCTGATATAAAAATAAGAGATTAACTCTTGATTTTCTTAGAGCTTCAAAAATATTTATTGTCCTAATTTAATTTTTTACTTTACAGTGTCTCAGCAGTTTAGCAGGCAAGATATGAAGCTGTAATCAGTCAAACTAAACCAGATGCAGCTGTGCTCACATTTGTAAACACTTTAATGTTAATATAACATCTTAATGATTTTTCTGTTTTACTTTCTGTCTGATGATGCCAACGGTTCAGGGGTGAGAGGTCATGTTTCTCCACAATGAACCCAGTCCGCAAACGCCTCAAACTAAGCCCATCCGAACTGCAGCATGCAACTGGCATCACCAGCACTGCCCAGTGTGTCAGACCGCCTCAGCTCAACTCCCATGATGCTTTGATGCTGCCAGGAGCCAGAGCAGAGCAGGAAGAAGAGGAGGGGTACCTGCTGGTGGAGGAAGATACCACTGATTCCAGCCTCGTCATCACTATGGGTAAAAAAAAGAAAAGACCTTTCTGTTATTCTGGTTTTGTTAAATTGATGTTGTCTCAAAACCTATACCTTGTAATTTAAAACTTTGACCTGAACCCTAAAAAGTTAGCTTACTCTCAAAGCAAATACATCTCCATAAAACTGATGACTTTGTCTCAGAGGACAGTCAGGTGAAGGTAAAGACAGCGAGAAGGAAGGCACCGAAGAGGAAAAAGCGCACACTGAACGAGGGAGGACATGATGAAAAGAGCAGGACCTCTGAAACCGAGGAAGAGGAAGAGACAGGAGTGGAAGTGGAGATTGACACCCAGCTGGACCAATCACTGGAGACAAAGTCCAAACAACACAACCTTACCACTGTGAATGTCAAAAACATCATCCACGTGAGTTCACTTACCATTTTCTGACATGATTAAACATAAAGGATGAAAAATAAAAAAGCATCCAAGACTATTTTCTTTAAGAATTAAACATGTTTTTGAATTTTAAAAGCTCCTTTTGCCTTACAGGAAGTGATCACCAATGAACATGTGGTGGCAATGATGAAAGCTGCCATCAATGAGACAGAGACAGTCCCTCCGTTTGTGAGTTTCTATCCAATGTCTAGTATAATAATACTCAGTCGCCATCTTTTAAACAAGTTTTTAAGATAAACTCTTCTATTTCTTAGGAGCCTAAAATGACTCGATCCAAGTTAAAAGAAGTGGTAGAGAAGGGAGTGGTAAGTTTTAGTTTACAAAGATAATCTTAAATCCTAACCGAGAACTGAGGTCCTTGTGTTTTATTTATTTATTTATTTATTTATTTATTTATTAATTATATTTATTATATTTAGGTGATTCCCACCTGGAACATCTCACCCATTAAGAAAAGCAGTGACATCAACAAGGTAAACAACATTCAATCCAGTCTGTCGGATTTATTTTTGATCCTGCATTTTACCGCAGAATTAACAAAACCTTATTTTCTTAAAAATGTAACAAGTTAAATATTTTCTTTTTCAGGCTCCTCAGTTTGTGGACATTCCTCTGGCTGAGGAGGACTCATCCGATGAAGARTATCGCCCTGATGAAGAAGATGAAGACGAAACGGCTGAAGACGTGAGGCTTTGCTTTCAGACACTTTTTCTTGCGATTGTTAGTCGTTAATGGCRCGTGTCTGCGTGCAGACGTTCCAGGAGAGCGACATGGAGAGCACAGCGTCGTCTCCAAGAGGGAGTCGACTCAGCAGAGCGGAGGAGGACAGCTGCAGCCCCTGGCAGGTAACTGCTGCGTCACTGCAAGCCGAGCTAAAGCTATCATCAGGAGTCGTTTTCTATCTACAGTAGCTGTCCCTCGGTGACATTTTTTTTCCCCTTCCTCTATCCAGACGTCTCGGTTTAAACCCAGACGTGTCAAGGTGGGCTTAATGGGTCCTCCCCCTCCCCCCAAAGCCCTGCCGCCTAAAGGTGTGACTGACAGCATCTTCCTGGAGAAACTTCATGCTGTTGAAGAGGAGCTGGCAGATTGTATGGAGCCCTATCAGGTAACTTAAATACTGATCGGTAACACCAAGTTGGTTTGGCCTGTTCAAGGTGAGAATGAACTGCATCATGCAAAATCCACGTTTTTAGGTGTTTTGATTGATTGTTGTTTATTCAGCCATCAAAAATGTTCAGCAACAAATCAAAACATTACAAAACAGTACAAAAATGTGAACAGTTTGACTGAAAAGGTGCAGGCAGAAGCACAAGGCTTATATTTACGCCAGTCCTACACATCCAATCAAACTAAACTACCCCTCATAATCATTTCTATAAAAAAACACACAAATAACAAAGACAACAAACAATCCAAAACAAATACAATAACAATTTAAAGTCATTTTCACTTGTAACCCTCAAATATATATATATTTTTAGGATTTGTTTGAAAACCCATAATGAACAACATTCTCATAAGTGTTAAATGTATTTTGTTGTGAACTTGGAGTCTCTAGGAGTGCAGAAAAGTTTAATTTAGTCTCTCTCGGTGCTGCATATCCTGTTTGGGTTTAGTTGTCGTTATTTGATATGACGTTTTCTGTACTACGTTGTAGTTTTGCGACGGAACTCCCAAATAAGGTCTGGACTTACTAAGTACAATTTGGTGGTCTTCATTCTCCTCTGTGTCAGACTCTGGCTCCAACATATAAGGCTGGATGGACAAGTCTTCCCTTGTTGATATCTTTTAATTCATATTTAAATAAAAGAGTTTCTGGCAGCTATATAGTCATAAACCTCTCTATCAAACTAGAATAGACCAGTCTGGAAGCTCCACTTTCTCAGCTAGTTTACATACATCTAATTTAAGTCCCAAACTTATTTAATCTTGACGTATTTTTATACACTTTGTGTCTTACGTTTTCCTTTTTAAACCTTGCGCTTAAACTTTAGAAAAGGGGTGAAAGAGGGGCTTGTGGAGTTACAATAAGGAGGAATTCAGACATTGCACTTCCATTTATATCAGGGATGTCAAACTCCAGTCCTCGAGGGCCGCTATCCTGCATGTTTTAGAGGTTTTCCAGCTCCAACAYACCTGATTCAGTGATTGAATTAACTCTTCAAATTGGGCAGAAGCCTGTTAATTACCCAGCGATCAAAATCTGGTGTGTTGGAGCAAGAAAACCTCTAAAACATGCAGGATAGCGGCCCTCGAGGACAGGAGTTTGACACCCCTGATTTATATATATATATATGATTTAAATGGTAAAAAGAAGAATTAAAAAGCAGCCAAAATTCCAATAGATGATTAAAATATAAACAACTGATWGTTTATTATTTCACTTTCAGCCTCTGTCTGAGTCCGAGGATGAGTCAGGTGTGATGGCGTGCCGGACTAGGTCCAAGCGTCCTCTCCGAAAYGTCCCGCTCGGTCAGCTGGAGGCGGAGCTCCGAGCCCCCGACATAACTCCAGACATGTACGACTCCAACTCTGCGCCYGAGGACAAGGACTGGACGGACTGGTTGATAGGCCTGATGAGCTCAGATGTAGATAACGAAGGTGAGTTTTTGGGGTCTAAATGCGCGTCCGCATCATGTAAACATAAAAAAAATACAATCACAGTGCCTGGTTTCAGTCAGCCCCCTGAAAGATCAGTGTAACATCCCATGAACAAGGTGTCACAGAACCTCTCAATCTTTCCTCCAGAGGAGTGTGATGATGATGACGATCCTGAGTACAACTTCCTGGCTGACACAGACGAGCCTGATTTGGAGGATTACCGCGACGACAAGGCTGTCCGGATCACAAGTCAGTAGTGACATCAACAGTATGATTATGGCAGAAATAACATTGATTTTCCTGCCTTTTTTTGGTAAATTTTGCAGTGAGCCTGAAAAGGTTCAGGTTTTAAGGTGCTGACTTCTCTTCTCAGCTGTTACGCTGATCTAATCTCATGTCATTTGTCTCTTGCAGAGAAAGAGGTGAACGAGCTGATGGAGGAGCTGTTTGAAACGGTACAAACTCCAGTAAATTCATCTGAAACATGCTGGCACCTATAAAATATTATATTTGCGTAACTCTTTCCGTGTCTGCGCCTCAGTTGAAAGAGGACTTGGCCGGACAGGAAGTGGAGGACGAAGGCCACGAGGAAGAGGAGGAGCCACAGGAGGAGTCGCACTCCGCTCGGACGCGCACGTTTGAAGGGCAGCACAGGTGCGCGACACGCTCGTGCCTCCGGAAAGCGTTGGCGTTTATTTTCCGCCCCCGATGACTTCCTGCTTCGTTCCTCAGAGGACCGGCCGACGACGAGGCGGAGGACGAACCAATCACAGAGCTGCGCACGGTGAGGCAGCAGCTGGCGTTGATCAGGAAGCGACGGCAGACGAACGCGTCGTACGGCGTGCACTGTCCGGAACCGTACACGCTGAAGCTGAGCGCTCAGCAGAAGCAGAGGCTGGAGCAGCAGCTTCAACAGGTAAAACAAATACAGGTTSTTAATAAGAACCTTCTTTAAAACTCGTCTTAAAACCCACTTRTTTACTTTGGTTTTTGACACTGTGTGAGGGGTTGTGTTGTCCATTTATACTAGATTTTATTTTTTGTAGAAATGTTTTGTTTTTATTCTAGATTTTAAATTAGGTTTTAGGTGTTTTATTGGTTTTTATTCCTTGTTTTTACTTTGTATTTTGTTACCTGCTTTTATTTTTCTGTGGTTTTT